GTGTAACGTCTAATTACCTCTTCAGGGATAGTCCAGTCGTTGGGCGGCAGACAGTTGAGCACGGCTTCGCTGAACCTCGCGTGAGGCACGTCATGCTCCAGGAGAATCACTTCGTTCTCTGCATCTTTGTCACCTGAAAAGTACAACATACTCACTACTCATACAATACTTATCCATGCCATCATATCTTGTGGGAGTGTGATCTTTGGAAACATGAACGTGATATAATGCTTAATTCAATACAACATACATCTGTTTCCGCAATTTATTACACCGATCTTGTCGCGACAAGGAAAAATTTCCGTGCTTTTAAGCGATTTTGTGAAAAATATTATTGGCAGGTAGTTGCTAATTGCTCATAAGATAGGCCCCCTTAATTTAATTTATTGTCCGTGGTGCATAATCTTTTTCTTAAAGGTTTTAAACCTTTGTTTGTCACCTGTCATCCGCTTTGCAATGGAGGGAAGTCGAACCTTAATTTCGAACTCCTCCTATGTTCTTCTGATTAATTTCGTTGCGGGTCCAATGACAGTTTAACTTTCCCCCGGGACAAACTTGACCTTCATTGGTTGGGTTTTTGTGGCGGTCAAGCTGTAGATCCTGGCTACACAGGAGTTGCAGTGGTGGGAACGAGAGGTGGGAATAGTCCCGTTTACTCATCCAATGCTTCAAAGGTCTGATGAAATTTAATAATGTTAGATCTTGAAGAAGGACATGGCTTACATGGCTTCCTTTTATCGTAAAAGAAAATCGTTTGGAAAAAGGAGAGGAGAGAATGCATGTGTGCATCAATGCATTGCTTTTCTTACGAAAAATATGAAAATTTCGGTATAAGATGTTTCAGAACAGATTAAGACTCTGCCAATGTATTACCGACAGTAGGACATCATTCTGTGATAGATCAACATCCATGTACAGTCAGCGTCAAAGTTTATTACTGGAATAAGGTTGTCATCACAATTTTGGCCACTTTGGGCGTCACGAACTATTTGACGTTGACCGTGGGTTGACATTAGCTATTAACATAATAAACATACAGTGAATCTTTACAGTAGAGATAATATGAAACGGATAGTTGTTTGGCCGGATACCGGATACCGGATATCCGGATAGCCAGATATCCGGCGGCCGGATAGTTGGCCCATAGTCTCGTTGCATGTCGTGACGAGTTTAACATCGCACAGGTGCTTCGAACGCAATCAGTGGGTCTAGTAGACTAGATAAGTCACACTTTTCGAAAATCGAATCCGTCTGAATCCGAAGAGAATATAAGATTTTGCAACTTGTCTAGAGGGCGAAAATTAAATTAGTTTACTTGCTGCGTAATCTGACTCATGACATCAGACCATCAGTAAAAAAAGATCGCCTATTTTAATTGGCAATATTTCGACACTAACAGATATTTACTATTTATGTATTCGTCATTAGAGTGAATAGCCCAGAACAAGAAATTAGTTTTTTGAAAGGCAAATAAATAAAAATGTATTTATAAAAATCCTTAATATGGCTTTTTGTAAATGTCATTATTTTATGGCATTTTATTGATATTTACTTCAAAGATTAATGTGTTTCATTTTATTATAGGAAATTGTCGTAGTTTTTTAATATCCGGTATCCGGCCGGATATCCGGCCTACCGGATAGTTACCGGATATCCGTTTCATCTCTACTTTACAGTACACTTACCAATCGGCCCAAGGGCTCTAACGAAATGCCCCAACGGGTACCGACTGTTCCGTGGCCAGGAGTCCAGCGCGACCAGTATGCGTTGCGACGCGAGGATGTCGCTCTGGCGCGTTTCGATTCGCACTCTTGGGATCCGCTTCTCAGCTGGTGTGAAGAGGTGGCGAGTTGCCCCTGAAAAGCAATAAATTATCATCATGAGGTCTACACAGCAGTCAAAAAAAACAATATTTATCTTATTATCATCAGAAATAGTAGGACTATAAAAATATTGCTTCCCGCTAGTTTTTTGAGGCTAATGATTGACTAATGCTCGTTTTCACCATCAATCCCTATTTTTTAAGTGACCCCTTTGAAAACAAAATTCCTGTTATGTGTTACCATAGGGGTTACTTAAAAATTAGGGATTAATGGTAAAAACGGGCATGATTCTGCCACCATTACTAAGTTATGTAGATCAGTAGATTAGCTAGGGACAGTGACAACAGACAGGCTAATAAATGTAAAGAAAACAACTCTTTAATGAAGATCAAAACGCAACAAGATTTGCTTGTTGTTCAAAATAAAATAAAAAACAAAGTATGCAACAGGTGGGAATATAGTTCCCACCATATTTTGAACTTCATTCTCTTGTCTTCAGGTCCAAAATCAATGAAAAATTTGGACTTGTTATGCCTGATAAAGGCTTAAATGATAACACTTCTGTAAATACTAACCTGGGAATTTACTAGGCATCAAAATACCACAATACTGTCTCCATTTCCTCCTTATAATGCCCACCACTTTTCCAGTGGGAGTGATCTCATCCTTACTGTTATCAACTGGCTTAGCAGTTTTCAAAAGTACAGTTTCTTCCTCCAGTAAGTCCCCAGGGTCATCAGCTTTGTCTTCCAAGACTATGTCACTGGGTTTGCGCCATTCTTCTTCAGGGAATATTTCAACAGCCACCAGGTCACCATCAACTGCTCTGTTAATTCCAATATGACCTTGCAGTAGAATCTTGAAATTAAAAGTGTCATTATTATTTTAATCAAAAGATAAGAAGACATTTAAAGAGCCTCATAAGGGCTACCTTTTATACAAGAGCCAAATCTTGGTGGAAAATTTAATAAAGAATAAAATTATAATTCTACAAGTAGTATAATTCCATACTTACAGGTTTTTCAAAACCGTTGACAGTAACAGTACCTTCAAGGAAATTGTCACGGGAAGCGTGGAACGTTCCTTGATACAGTTTCCCGTTACGGATACCAGTGTGTATTTGGGTCGGTGTCAAGTGAGCAGGGTACAAGGCATCTTTGGAGCAACTCTCTGGTATTACATTCTTGGAGAGTTTATCCACTAGTCCCACAAAGCCATTGACATTTTCTATGTAATCTTTTACTGAAATGTGAGTTAATAAAATACTAAACAAAGAGTCATAAATAATAAAAATATATTACTTCAGTTGAAACATTTGACTACATTATAATTCTACACTATTCATGATTATAAGACTATTGAGACATAGTTTTCCGTATGAACATTTTCTATATTTGTTTTTAAGATGAAAAACTATGTACTGGATTGAATTTAATTGACAATATGGAAATCTAAATCATCATGAGGTAAGTAAACCATGATTTGATTGAATAGGAAAAGGGAATTAATACCAACCAGAACAACAAACAATCCCCTCCTCTTGTGCAATTTTTCTATTTGATTCATCATCTGTTAGCAACACAATCTTGGGAAAATTGCCCCCAACATTGTTAGCTGACAAGTGTGAGGCGTACCAACTGGACGCTTTACGGATTGCCCGGTCATTCCTGTCGTTTTGTTTTTCACCTGGGCCTCGCTCTATGTATGTATCTCTACAATATCAACAGTGAATTTGAATAATGTGAACTTTATTTTGTTTAAATTTAAAATTTAAAACAATTTTTTTAAAAAAGTTTAAGATGTTCCTCGCTCTATGTATGTATCTCTACAATATCAACAGTGAATTTGAATAATGTGAACTTTATTTTGTTTAAATTTAAAATTTAAAACAATTTTTTTAAAAAAGTTTAAGATGTTATCTAACTAAAGGTCAATGAGGGCTATCGTTTTAGCGCTCACCAGTTAGCGCCACTGTAGAGTAAGCTCCTGTCACTTGCTAGTAGCAAAGACAGTGGCACCAACTGGTGAGCGCGAAAGTGGTAGGAGGACTATCGCATTTGCACTCGTCAAGATGGCGCCACTGTAGAGTAAGGTCCTGTCAATCGCCAGGGGTGCCCACTGTTAAGTATAAAAACGATAGCCCTCATTGTATTATCAATGTTATTTGCAAATAAGAAAATTTAGTTACAACAATGTTATAAAGATTGACTTACTTGTGATGCTCATTCACAAAGGAATAAAACTTCCTCTTTTTGTTGCCAATTACTTCCAAGAGCCTTTGGAAGATTGCCGTATTCTGGTGCTTGACCTCTTCAAGCACTGTCTGCAGTATTATCACGTTCGAGAGCGCATCCTCTTCTAGGATATCCATTTGGTGTAGAACCACATTAGTATCCAGTACTAAATAGTGAGGATAGTCAAATAAGGCACAAATGGACTCAGGGTTGGACTCCAACACATACTCATCGTCTTTGTGCGGGCAAACATTACACGCAGCTGAGCCACAAAGCAAATCATCACGGAGGTAATGCTCCCTAACAATCTGTAAGAGTATCAGCACTGTTCAATATGAGCAAATATTTTAACTAATAATGCCGTAGCATTAGGTTGACTAAAGCATATTTTACTCAAAGAATAAACACATATAAATGAAATAAATGATAAATACAAAATGTTTGTAGGTAAACATAACCTCACCTTTAAGATGTTGCCGCGTTTAGTTTTGGTTAGAAATGTTTTAGTAGTCCACATTTTCACAAAGAATTGAAAATAATTTCACATGAATTATTTTGTAATACTTCCACGTTATTTTGTAGATTTGATATAAGTAAGAATTTGAATGAAATCCAATTTCTAACCTTAATTTCACAAGTGTCAAACAAATCGACAGTTTGACACGTTTGACAGTAAACCACCACAGGTTAAAACAACACGTGAAAACCACAGTGATAACACTGTGGTAACATCCCTACATTACAAAATCATACTTATGAATATCAACATTCATAAAAAGAAGTAAAGTAATTAAAATTATATTTAATTATAAACATTTTTTAATTACGTATAAAATGTAAAAACATAGACAAATCTAGTTTTTTTTCCTATTAAAGATTGTCGATGGTCCTTAATACTGTCACTGTCAGTCAGAGTTTTGTCTGTGGTCAGTAAGTTCACAATTTTTCTAGAGGACGGTTGTGCGTCCTTTGTCTTCATTAGCCAGTGATCATCATCAATCGAAACGTAAATGAAGTTATAAATCAAAATGATAAATAAAAAGAGTTTGCCTTTGAACAGCCAAGTTCCAATGAGTAATAAATATTATTAGTAATAAAATGTTTTGTAAATACCTAACTTTTTGAATGAGTGCCGAGTTTTTGAGTTCCTCTTGACTGAGTTTAAAAGGATAATAATAAATGCGTCGCAGACTATGCCAGTAACAAAGCAAATCAAATCCCCGCAGCAAATATGGGAAGCCATCTCATCAACTTTTGTGCACTTCGTAGAGAGTATATTTTTTACTCTCGGAGTCGTGATCGCAAGGCGCCCGTGGACAACAATTATTATCACATGGTTGTTCCTCTTCGTGAGTTGCATCGGCTTGATGCGATTTTACATAGAAAAAAATCCTATGCAGTTATGGGTACCACCAGATTCAGATTTTTATCGCGACACACATTGGTATATAGATAACTTTGGCACTGGGTTCCGTCTACAGAAAATCATAATCACCGCAGATAATGTTTTGGAGCCAAAAGTTTTATCAAAGATACGCAACATAACCCAAAAAGTGAACTCTCTAAAAGTCGAATACATCGAAAACAGCTACTCCCTGGAGGATTTGTGTTTTCAAGTTCCAGTGGTGAATTTCCTCAATTTAAACGAAAATAGTAGATCTGTGAAATCAGTGAGTGACAAAAATGGTTCATCAAGAAACGTTAACAGTGATAGTGACTTCTCCGACCCGACTTTATGGATTGGTGATGAGTTTTATTGTGGATTCTTGGATACGTTTCAAATGGACTGTCTTCAGTATAATATTTTAGATTTATGGAGTAACAATGCTGATTCAATCATGAATCTAACAAAGCACGACATTGTTTCTAAAGTAAATTCCGTTAAAAAGAATCCAGTTACTGGTCACCCATTTGATTATACGAAAATGTTAGGTGGCGTCAAACGAGACGAAAATGGTGACATAGTTTCTGCTAATTCGATAATGTTAATTTGGTATACACATGTAAATATGTCCGCAATTGATATTAACGAAGTTGGTAATCTAGTTGGTACTGAAGACTGGGTTTCTGTTCCTCTTGGCTTATGGGAAGCCAAATTTTTAGATTTGATGAATTCTTTATCCCATAATACATCTGATATTCACCTTTATTACGAAGCTGGTAGGAGTTTTGCTGATATTAGTGGCGAGGCTATGTTTCACGAACTAGATAAGTTGTTTCTAGGCATCATTTTGATGTTTATTTACATACAGTTTGCACTGTCCAGGTGTAATTGGCTGGAAATCAGATTAACACTTGGAAGTGTCGGACTATTGTGTGTAGGTATGGCTTACGTGACTGCAGTTAGTTGGTGTTCTGTTATTGGTATACCATTTGGGCCAGTTCATTCGTCCCTACCCTTTCTTTTGATGGGACTTGGCGTAGATGATATGTTTGTGATGAATGCTTGTTGGAGAAATTTATCCCCTGCCGAAACAAAAAAGAGTCTCCCAGTTAAGATTGGTCTAATGTTACAACATGCTGGTGTGTCCATCGTAATCACGTCTTTTACAGACATAGTAGCCCTATTAATTGGGGCTATTACTATTTTGCCGTCGTTGAAATCATTTTGCATTTATGCCGCTATGGGTGTGTTTTTCATTTTTTGTTATTCTGTAACTTTTTACGTAGCAATTTTTACTCTTGACATTCAAAGAATGGAAGCAAACCGTAATGGTATTTTGTTTTGTTACAAGCATTCTAAAGATATTCACGTAGCAGAAGACAAAACCATATTCCAAAAAATCTTGGCTAGTTTTTATAAAAGAGTCGTTTTTACGATGCCAGGTAGAACTATCATCATACTTGCCACATTGGTTATGACAGGTTTTAGTATTGAATCAATTATGCACTTAGAACAGAAATTTGACCCGAAGTGGTTTATACCAGAAGATACTTATTTCAAAGAATTTCTCAATATTCATGAATATTACTATCCCGAAGAAGGACACCCAGCTATGGTATTTTTAGGCAAAATGGATTATCAACACGAGTTCCCAAACTTGTACAGTATCGCAGAACGTCTTAAAAATCAGACATACGTCGATGACGTAACCAATTGGGTCGAGTCTTTTCATGGCTATGTCCTTAAAAACTATGAACGTGATTTAAAAAATACAACGACAGTTACAAACGATGAGTTTAATGCGTATCTTACGAGATTTTTATTTAGTCCCATCGGAGGAAGATTTCAGCTGAATTTTAAATTCTCAACCCCAATAAAATGCGGTAGTCCTGCGCCGAACATAACAGCGTCTTCAATGTCGTTCAAATTCGGACGGTTTCATGGTCCTGAAGAATATATTCCTGCTATGAATCACGCAAAGGATGTCGTTAAATCGACACCTATTACAACCGGTGACGAATATCGAAGTGCTTGGTCTAAAGCTTTCGCCAATTGGGTCACAGACGAGGTCATTGGGGAAGAAGTAGAAAGAAATATAGAATTAGCTTTATTGTGTGTTATGATTTGTACAGTGATTTTGATAACTAATTTGCAAATGTGCTTTTGGATATTTATTTGTGTATTGCTTACAATAGTGAATGTCTTGGGATGGATGCAGAAATGGGGTATGACTGTGGACATAGTTTGTTGTATCGGGCTTGAGCTAGCAATTGGTTTGTGTGTAGATTACGCTGCCCATATCGGACACACGTTCTTAACTACTTCGGGAGACTCTAGGACGGATAGAGCATTCAAAACTGTTACGTCCATTGGAACTGCGGTTCTGTTAGGTGGTGGCTCGACATTCCTATCATTGTCAATTCTGAGCATGTCTCAATCTTATACCTTTAAATCGTTCTTCAAAATATTCTTCTTGGTTATAGTATTTGGGCTGTTTAACGGTTTAATGTTTTTACCGGTGGTTTTGTCGTTAATTGGGCCAGATGCGTATCGAAAAAAAGAAGAGACTGAAAAGCAACCTGAAGCTATGGAGCTTAACGGTAAGCATCAAATAGCAATTCCCACAGAAAAACAAATATTTGAAGACTGATGATGATAAATGAAGTTAATGGTGCAGATAACGAGTACAAAACGTGTGTACAGATGGTGCATGTTTGTTAAAACTTATCACCAAGCTAATAAATCGCCGTTTTATATGGTGTCGAATAATATGTAATTATATTGACGTTACTTATTAACATAAAATGTAATGAAGTCCCTACCTACAACTTTACTGTGATTAAGATGCTTCATATCAAATGAAAACCAGTCTGCCAATGTGGGAAGTGTTCTCCATTTGAGCTTGCCTGTGTTTCTACAGGTGGAGAGATGAATGATGATGATAATATTGGAAAAACTGTATGTTCCTTGTTGTAGTAAGTTTGTAAATGGGTTCCTCGGCCATCATTGTGCTATCTGTTGTGAATTGCATATAGTAGCAAATGATATGACAATTTTCTGTGTAAATTATGTAGGTAATCTCAAAACGAGGACTGAGTGATAAGATAAATTAATGTAATCAATTAAGGGCTATTGTGATTTATGCAATACAATTGTTTAGATGTATATGTATAGAAGGCTAGTGTTAAAAATGTTTAATTTATTTTTATACAAGTACCTAGCTAGCTAAGTCTTAAATGTTTTAGATTTTTTAAGAAATATGTACCTAATTACACCTAACTACTTACCTATTGCTGGTAGAGCTGAGTTTCGTGTATGAAATAAAGCAATATATTTTACGACTTCTTTTGTCATATTTATTTACTGATTACTTACTAGTTACTACAATATACCTAAAAAATAAGAAGAATTATTTTTCTTAGGCGTAGGTATATAGCCTACCTAAATATTTCTAATTTACCTAACTGTTGTCTACCTATTCTAGTGGTTAAAGCTTGTATTTTGGACGTAACTCTCTTGGGGTGTACGACTAAGGCCAAATACTCGCTTCCTAAACTAAAGGTCGCGTTTTAAATAGAACTATTTTTTTAAATAAGTAGTTTGACAATAAATAAACTATTCTACGTATGTATCTAATAAACAAAATATTATGTAGGTATTTCTAATCGGAGGATTGTAGACTTTGCGACTTTTTTAGTAAATCCTGCTTCAAGTTCTACCCAAAAAAGTAACGTTAGTTATAGCCTGACCAGGAACATAAAAACCCTCGCCATGTTGCGGAAAACTAATGGTACTAATTTCTTTTAATGGCAACAGTAACTGAAAACTTCATTGACATGTCACCATGCATGTCAGTCTATTGTTGTCAAAGTGTAAACAAACTTTATTTTAAATGTGTGCAATTGATTTCGTGAATTAAATTGCTAAAATATTTTTATAGTCGTGAAAGAAAAGTGGTTCACGATGTGTTAATGTATTTGTCGAAGAGAAATACTAAGGGTTCGGACAATATTTTCATTGAATAATGTTTCCGACAAAGGTTGTCAAATTGACTGACAGGTTTATCGTATGGTACAGTCCACTATGAAAATTAGCTGTAGTCTGTTTCAACTACCTATTTTAAAGTTTTTTGTCACTTTCTAAGTTTTGAATTTTATGGAATTGGGAAAGAAGTACCGAGTTTGAAGCGTTCATGAGCAGACATTGCAGTTGAATATTCATGTTCTGAATTTGATTATTGATGAATAATAAAATAAATCCTACTAGCTCGATTGATGGTTTCATTTAATTTATTTAAACCAGGTTATCTTTAATAATATTTTTCGTTAATTTATGAAAATATCAAATTAGCCCGTAATCCTGAATCCTGATACATAAATTTAGCCTATTAATTTAACACATGTACGACTGTACTCAGTGTTGCACTATCAAATGCAATTGAAGCGCCTCTGTGCCAGGGTTTTTATGTTCCTGGTCAGGCTATACTTCCTAATAGAAGTGTTCTAACCTTTTGGTAGAATGTTGTCAAGCAACTTTCGGACCTTCATAATCAAATTAAAGGGACTGAACGTATCACGCACGCAATACTAAGTAACTGCCTAATATTTCCTTTCTGTTGGGACAACAATAAGTTTGTTGAACTTTTTATCACGAAATCAGTAATCACGATACAAGGGCATTAACCGTGACCGTAGACAATAAACCAACCATTGATAAAGAAGAAGAGGGACATAAAACGTACCTACTTCTTAACTCTACGAAATAAAGAGTTAGGTTAACCTACTTACCTAATTACACCAACCAACTGTATCAACATAATTTGATTAAACTTTGTCCTACCTATTACAAAAAATAAAAAAAACTATCCTGCTAACTAAAACGACCAATGTTAAAGCAGAAAGAAAAATAAAAAAACACATTGTGACACATTATTATAATAGTAGGTACACACTGTAGACTGTGTCTGTCGCAAAATGTGTGTCGCAGCAACGCAAAACGGCAAAAGCTCAGTAATTGGTTAAACCACTGATTTTCGGCTATAGCCTAAGACCGAAAAACGCGATATTATCTTGTATTAGCTACATTACCATGCAATATTAAATCTTTTTATCTACAAAAAAATCTACTATTAGGTATCTACCTAAAGTTCAGTTTAAGCTTGAACCTACATAACCCACCTGAACTTAAATAAGTTACTTAGGATTTCATATCACGTTCGGAATATCTCCATCTCTTAAAATAACTTATTAACAACTGCAATAAAATGTTAAACATCATAAAGTAATAATAATATTCTTTGAAAACTAGTTTAGGTAGAGGTAATAAATTTTAATTATGAATATCTTATTAATAACTCGCTCCATGTGTTGATCAACAGGTCAAGTGGACTCTATATTTAATTTTATTCATAGAGTTTAAACAACTCGACGAGTCGTTGATGATGATAATAAATGAGTAATTTTATGAAGTTAGAAGTACCGTAAAGCCTACCTACCACCATTTCCGTTCTCACAAATCACATCGATTGGTTGACCACGTTCGTTCGAAATTTGCTTTTACTTTTGCACACGATTATACAATATAGGATTAAGAATAGCATATTTTCGTTCGTCGTCCAGTCGCATTGCAGTAGAAAATTTTTAGCGCCATCGGGGCCATGAGGGACCCGGGTTCGACGAACCCCGTCGCCGCTGGACAAGGATATTTTTTAGCTTACGACAAGAGGTTAATTGGACTATTGTAAATTACTAATAAGTAACTATTCTCTACGAATAGCCATATGGTGTTCGATTATTGAAGTACCTAATAAGTTCCAAAATAGGTTATTGCTACTCAAGTATTAAGATTACAAAAAAACACCAAAGTCACTACCTCGTAAGATAATAAGAATACAATTTCGCAGTATGTAAGTGAATGTAAACTTATCAGTTACGAAAAATAGATAATGTACTGACGCAGTTTGATTTGTTGTATAGTACCTAATATAGGATAAGGTATTTCCTCTTATCACTAAGTAATCGTTATTAACCACGTGCAACATTGTAATAGCTAATGCTTAAATAGGTACCAAATCATCATAAATATTGCGTAAGTATGAGATAAACTTAAGTTAAATAATAAGTCATGAGATTCTCATGTTTATAACAACAACCTCTTTCTGGGTCATTCCATAAAAATCTGTATATTTTCGACGTCATTTTGTCCGTAACTTTTTTAAGATGCTTTTGAATACTTTATTAGTGTAAATTATTGTTTATTAATTAATTATGTTATGTCTAAAAGGGCCAGTCACTTTATGCTTTATTTTAGGAGAAATTATAATTTTCAATTTTTTCATACTACATTACTCCAATATGACTTCTAATAAAGTATAAAACTTATAACCTTAACATTTATAGATAAGTTAATACACATAATGTAGTTGTTTTGTTATTATCACTATATATATAAAAAACATCATTCCCTAACTAGTAATTTAGTTCCAAGTGCCGTTTAAAGCTAGGGCCTGACGCTCTAGGGACTGACGATTTGGAGTAAAACTTAACACAAATGCAGATTAACTTTATATTATAAGATGCTTAATACGATGTGCCGAAAATAGCCAAAAAACCACACGTAAATACTATTAAATTATATACAATTTCCTATTATAATCAATAAAGCTACTCAACTAGGGACTGACGAAGTGACTGGATTAACACATGTTTCCGCAACAACTGGCACGTTTGCACTTATTCAAAAAACGGCTACCGCAAAGCCAGTATGGTCTGAGGATAACTTCGTATCGTACTTTAAACTCAACTAAATGTCATTCACTCTAAATACATATTAAAGCGCAAAATTATAAAATCAGTGCGTGGCGAGGGAATGACGCTAAAAACTGTAGACTCTTTTTCAACTAAAGAAAATCAAATTATTGTTTATTGAAACCGCAAAATATTAATAGAATTTGGTGTAATATACATTTAAATAGATTATTCGTTAATTAAAACAAAGGATAAAGTTGATGTTTTTATAAATGTGGGTCCCAAAACACAAACTTTTGGAGTACGGACATGCCTAGGGAATGACGTTTTGGGTCATTCAAAAGGAATTTAAGATGTTTTAAAAATAGTTTCAAAAAATATAAATGGGTGATGAATAAAGCACATTGCGAGCTATTATTTAACAATTTTGGAATAAAATATTAACAAATATTTCATGTGAAATGTGGCGCGGACTAAGAGTTGACATATTTTTGTGGAATGACCCTTCTAGATCTTCCCTGTATGTATGTAGGTATAACTTACAATAACTTTTGCTTATAGCTTTTCTGTCTGCATTAGGTAAATACGAGTACCTACGTATACCTACCTGCCTATCTTGTGTCTCTAGGAAAAACGTTGTGTAGTATCTAAATGACATTTTAATCCGTGGATAAGCTACTTACCTAGTTCTATGATTATCTTAATACAGACTGTTTTTAATTAAAATCAGATAGGTAAGAGCCTCGTTATGAAATGGTTTACGACAGAGAGCACCAATCCTGTTGAATTTGAAAAGGTCTTATCGGATTTTGTCTTTAACCTTGGTAATATAAAGGCCTTTTTCTGTAATGCGGATTTCGGCAAGCATGCGGGCAGCCCGCTTTCCCGTTCCACGTTTAGTGTCACGCGGACCGTCCAGCTGTATGAACTGCTAAGAAGCGAGCGGATCCTGCCGACCGCATCACTCTAAGAGTCTAAAACGACCGCATTACTTACTAGAACTAGAAGTTTGGAGCGGATCCGCACTGGATGGTCCGCGTGACACTAAAACCAGCCTAATAGGAACAGCTCCGCACGCGTGTCTAAATCCGCATTACAGGATAAAAGGCACTTAGGTTTAATTTTATAGCGAAATTCGCAGAAGAATAAAACCATAAAGATGGCAGACATGACTTGACATTCAGGGAGCGACAAATGGGTTATTAACACGCGTTATCTAAGGTCACTGGAACTGAGATAAATTCTTCCGCTGGGCATGATAGAGCACTTGCATCAAATTACTATCATA